ACACACACACACACACACACACACACACACACACACACACACATATATATATATATATATATACATACATACATACATACATACATATACATGTGTGTGTACGTGCGCGCATGCTCAAGCGTGTGCATGCACGCACACACACACACATACGTCATTTTAATTCCAGCAAAATAAACATCCATGAAGTAAAAGAATAATCTTTTAATGGAAGAGGAAGACTTTATTTTAGCAACAGACCAGGCTATAATATGTACAGCAGAGGGCTTTTCACAACTTCATTGGCAAGAACCTTTTTGCTTTTGCTCAAAAGTCTTGCACACTCTGCATTATTCCATTTATTCAAACACTTTAGTCTGTCTTTATACTTTAAAAAATAAATAAGGTGACTTACAACAAACAATAGTATATAAATCACATACAAAAACTGGTAAATTAACAGGCAAAGTAATATTCTTTGAAAACTCATCAGAACAACCAGTCTGGCAATCCAAACAACTGTCAGAAAAGAGAACTGATATCCATGAGATATTACAAATTATCACAGAGACACAAATAGACCTTTCTGAAGAAGATATCATGCAAAGGCCTGGGATTTTTCAGGCAATAATGCTCATAAGGAACCTTCTGTTTTATTTATTCCTGAGAAGTCTGAAGCCTAGCCTAATTATCTTCCTGTTTTGTTTAATGCTGAAAATCAACAAGAAATTACCAGTATACTCGGTCTTTTGCAGGCTGTTGTCAAATAGTTACTATGCGATTTTAGAGGATTCTTTACTATGGCCTGTCCACCTTTTGAATTGCATCGATTCAGAAGGTCAGTACATTTTCACTGTAGTCTTACTTACCAAGTTGTAAATTCCTAGAAGTAGGGCTTCTATGCAACCATTGCTCTGCCTATTTTTGCTGACAGTAAGACGCAAATAAACCCAGATGAGTTCTGGCAAGAACTGTAATGTGAATCTTTTGAGACGAACCTCAGAACTACGGTAAAGTTCAAAGAGTTGGTGGCAGACAGGTTCCAGAAACTGAAGGAGACAAATAATGATTGTTGTGGTTTATTCACTGATATCAATCAATGTTAACAATGGCACATGGCCAAAAGAATCATAGAGATGGAAAGGATCATTTAGGACATCAAATTCAACCATTAGTAAATATAGAAATCTAAATTAAAGCATCCCACACAGAGAGCCATGCTGTTTCTCCTGAACATATCTCATGAAATAGCAATAGCAATAATAGCAATAACAGTAGACTTATATACCGCTTCATAGGCCTTTCAGGCCTCTCTAAGCG